GCTATTTGTGTTCTTTGCTCCATTTCGTTTATCTCATATTCGAGCATTGCATCTCTCGCGCGCGCCGCCTGTAAATTGTATATGCACAGTGTGAAAAACAAAATGACACCAAAACTGCATTGAAAAGGTCAAATAATTTGATTTTTATTGTGAACTTTTATTGGAGCAAATTATCGTTACTCTGTTTATTTGTTTTGAGTGCAGGCAAAGATACGCGCGGGCATTTGTTTTTTTATTCTTCATATTCTTTAATTCATGCAATTTTTCATTCGAATTCACTGATAGCTGACTGTATTGATCCAACAAGGAAGATGGAAAAGGAGGAATACGATGAGCTATCGTATTCATTGTAAATATTTTCAGTTTCCGAAATTATATACATTTCACACATTTTCTACTTCTCGTATTGCTATGGAAACATATAAGTTACATCTATTTAAATACAAAATATTTTCGAAAGCCTGAATTAGAGGAAAAACCTTTGGTTAATTAATTTACTCATGATTTTACATGTGTTCCGTTTATCGGTGCATGTAAAAGATACGTTTGATAGTCGCTCTCTCGGTCGACCCCAGTTGTTTTACACATAATCGAATGCGAGAACAAAAAGGAATCCCCATTCGAGCCATGTCCGTGAATGACACTATTGCCTAGCACGAGAGATAACAGTTTGAACAGAAATCTCGGCACAGTTACAACTCCAGTGACCGACCCCACACACACACACTCACATCTCGTTGCAAATATTTACGTATGCAAAACCACACCAAATGGATTTTACCGTGTGTTTTCATTTCACGAACAAAAACACATTTGATTTTTTGGAACAGAGAAAAAAGAGGCGACTGACTGAGCTAATGTGTCCGGGATTCCATAACAAGTGTGAGAAAAAGAGAGTGCGAGAGAGATATACAAACTTAAAAACCGCAAACTTTAAAGCAAAGCATGTTGATGGTAAATGGTGCTCTTTTTTTTGCTTTATTGACTAGACAACTGCTGAATTGAGTATGTGTTGACATAGGACAAGCAGATTTTTGGTGAGTTTCAAAGTATCCTGAAAATCTAAAATGAGTACAAACACATAGCTGTAATATAGTGCAAACATTGTTATTGGCGAATAAATTGAAAATCAGCGGGAGCATTTCAAATGTGATGTTTTCATCACCAATAATAACTTCGTGCAATTCAAAATTAATGCGCAGAAAAATAAAAGACCAAAAAAAAAAACAGCCATCATAAAGTAAGTTCAAACGCAATGAAAATGTAATACATGTGTAGTACAGTCGTCATCGGTAGAGCGCATTTTCCACACATCAGTCGAAGACAATATAGCTACACACTTCGAATGAATGTGTGGCATGTGTAATCACTCAAAATAGTGCGAAATGTTTAGTAGTCAGTACCCTGTAAAAATATTACGACTCCTATCGCATACGCAAATGTTTATAGTCTCAAATATTACTTTTGCGCACTACTTTTTTGCATGAATAGCACACGCAAACATCAGCTGCCACACAAGGAGTTGTAACGAATGTAAGTTGGTGAAAATCGTGTAAAAATTGTGAAATGAAACCTTCAAAAACATTAGGTTTTTTTGTTGAATTTGTATACACAGCCAAAATATACTTTACGTTTTATATAATTGTATCAAACGCACAGACACACACACAAATACCCAATCTCGTCGTGCTGTATGGTTTATATGGTTGAGCGTACCGGATTTGAAAATTTTGTCGAATGAAAACAAAAATGTTTAACTCGCAAACTATTTTCCCGCAAACGAACATAAATTTCGATTATTCACACAACATAGATTCAGTCAAAGTGTACGATTTTTGGGTAAATGTGCGTGCGCGCTGCCACACCGTGTATGAAGAGAATGTGCATGTATTTGCGAGTGTGCAAGAGTGAGCGTTGTAAAGTTGTCGCGTGAAAATTCATGGTATGCGAACAATGACGATGAAAGAGCAACAACAGTAATAATAATCATTCAGCTGTGTAGTTGTCGTCATCGTTTTATTTGAAATTGCGGCAGTCGTCATGGCATTGAGATCAACTCTCAAACTCTATTTCGTTCTCCTTCGTCTCACACATTCTATCGCTTTGTATTACGTAGGTTGCTCCATAATTTTTTTTAAAATGGTACTTATAGTGTTGCCCGATGTAAACCATTGTCATATTCGTAAAGTTTGATGTTTTGGTATGTATTCGTGCCCTGAACCTTTTGTCGTACGAACGCTATTTGTATTGTTTACAGTGACTGGTAAACTGCGACTCAACAAAAAAATGAATTTTACACGTGAAGATTTTCGTAAAATGATTTACTACGATTTTCGAAGTAAATTATCTCAACAACAGTGTTTCGATCGACTTCATTTGGCCTTTGGCAATGAAGCACCAACCCTTCAGACAATTTATAACTGGTACCGAGAATTCCGTTGCGGTCGTAGTTCGCTCAAAGACGAGTTTCATACAGGTCGTCCAAAATCGGCTGTTGTGCCACAAAACATCGATGCTGTCAGAAAACTGATTATGGAAGATCGTCATGTGACCTACCGTGAGATTGAGGCATCTTTGGGCATTTCATCCCACAGCATACATACAATTTTGCATGAACATTTAGCCGTAAAAAAGATTTGCTCTCGTTGGATCCCACATAAATTGACCGATGAACAAAAAATGGCTCGTGTGAGTTGGTGTAAAGAAATGCTCAAGAAATTCAATCGTGGTGCTTCAAAAGACGTTAATAAAATCGTCACTGGTGACGAATCGTGGATATATGCCTATGAGCCCGAAACGAAACAGCAGTCGACTGTATGGGTCTTCCAAAATGAAGATAACCCAACGAAAGTTGTTCGAGCAAGATGCACTTCGAAGCGAATGGTCGCCTGTTTTTTCGGGAGAAGTGGTCATGTGGCAACCGTTCCACTAGAGGATCGTAAGACCGTCAATTCTGATTGGTATACCACCATTTGTTTGCCCGAAGTGTTTGGTGAAATAAGAAAAAACAACCACCGTCGCAAAATAATTCTTCATCACGATAATGCGAGCTCTCACACATCTTTTCAAACTACTCGATTTTTGACCGGTCAAAACATCGAACTGATGGGTCATCCACCGTACAGTCCTGACCTGGCACCCAATGACTTTTTTTTGTTCCCAAGCGTGAAGAAAAAACTACGTGGTCAACGATTTTCGACACCAGAAGAAGCAGTTGAAGCGTTCAAAACACACGTTTTGGAGATATCAGTTTCGGAGTGGCACGAATGCTATGACAAATGGTTTCATCGAATGCAAAAGTGTATCGATCATCTCGGGGAATATTTTGAAAAACAATAAAACCATTTTCGACAAAAAACAACTGTGTTATATATGTTTTTAAAAAAAATTATGGAGCAACCCTCGTATCACTCGCCGTTCCTTATTCTCTCTGTTTTTTTTCATAATAATTTATTCAGATTTGGCATTTTTGGTGACGGTTTTACTTTTCCGCACACATAGTGTAAGGTGAAAAGTATTGTAATCGGTCAAAATTTTGAAAACTTCAGAAACATGTTTTCTGGACGTTTCTGAGGTCAGGGAACCCGAATCAATCCGTTTTGAGCATGGTTTATGTTAGTCTGTACGTCGTACGTTGTACGTTGTACGTCGTACGTTGTACGTCGTACGCAAAATTTGTTAGCAAGATTGCGCTCATCGTAGAAACTTAATTCAAAATCTGACTTTACAGGATGATTGGGGGTCCCGAGGAATAGAAATCATTAGCTTTTGAGCGACTTTGGTTGATGGAAAAAAATGTCATGCCTGGAGTGATACCTATGAAAAAGAGTCCAATTTTCGCCCAAAAGTCATACTTAATGTAGACTTAAACACTCAAAAATATGTATTGGGGGGTTTTTTGGCACGAGAAAACCGAATCCGACGTTAGTTTTGAGATACAATCAATTTTTGATACAGTTTCCTTGAAAAAATCACAAAAAAATGGCATTTTTGTATGGGAGCCATGCCTGTATGCTACCTTAATGACGTGAAACTTTGCACAGACTATTTTTTACACAAAAAAATAACATTCTGAAAGTTTGAAGAGATTTCAATCAAAATTAGGGGTACCTCCCATACAAAATTTTCAATTTTTGGCTCAAAAACGAAAATTTTGTATGGGAGGTACCCTTAATTTTGGTTGAAATTTCTCCAAACCCTCCGAAAGTTATTTTTTTATGAAAAAAATAACCTCTGCAAAGTTTCACGCCATTAAGGTAGCATACAGACATGGCTCCCATACAGAAATCCAAATTTTTTGTAACTTTAGTTATGAAAAGTGTTTCAAAAATAATTTTTATGGCAAAATTAACGTCAGATATATTTTTTATAGTGTTTTGTTAGAAAATAGAATAATTTCAAATGTCGTACAAATGAGTTCATCATGAAAGTGTGAAAAATCTTTTCTTGGCTACTTCTGCTATTAAATTAAAGAATATTTTGTTGCCAAAGTTGAAACATATTTTGGTCTCGAACTTTACGCCGCTTAAAAGGCTTGAAAAATCGAACAAATATTATTTTGAATTGACTTAATAAAATACGCAACTACCACCGTGCGGAAAAGTTCGTCTTACTCCCGTAAGACTCTTTATTATTTTTCCGTCTATTTTATTCGGTTGTGCATCTCGATGCACAACAACTTTTTCATGTTCACTAACTTTTTTGTGTGCCGGATATGTATATTAATGAGAAAAATTCTTGAGAAAATTTCGCTTGCATTTCCGGCATTACATCTCGTTTGTGACACAGTAAAAGAAAAACATCGAACGTTACGTTTTGCACGTATTCAGGTTTTGCAAAAAATACATGTACCGAAACAGATGAATCTTCATTCGAATTGACCTTTGTCTAATACGCAAATTCATAACTGATTTTGCCAAGTATGACCTAATAGTAGTTTGAAAAACAGCAAAATGGCTTAAATGGTAAAAGTAGAAAAAAAAAACACACACATATTTTTTTCAACACACAGCAAAAATGGTGCTCGTTTTATTACAATATTTTTGGTTTAATCTACATACGATAATATATAAGCGATTCTCGTTTTTCTCATGGCAAATATAAGCTTAATGCGAGTATGAGTAAATGATCACACAAAATAAAATTGATATTGATAGATTCTCTAAAGCGCTTCAGAATTTTTTTTTCTTTTCATCTAAGAAACGAGGGGAGTTTATTGAACTAATCGCTGATAAGTGTTTCTTCCGTTGATGCTGATGTAATCACTTTAAATAAGAAAAAAAATTTTGTTCAGTCCGAATATTTGTCGAACATTTTTCTTTGTCGTTCGTTGGCACACATTTGATGAAATGGTTACATGAAATGGTGTCATATCCGATATTTCAAATACCATAAAAAATCAGTTGACCGACAAGAGATGTTTTTTGTTTAGAAATCCGGATTTGAAAAATGCAAGCAATTACATCTCAAAAATGAATTGTTTATATATTTCACTCGAGTGATTAATTTTCTGATGAATTGATAAATTTGCTTCACTAAATGTCTTCACCGTACACACAAAATGAATTACATACTATATTAGCTGAAAGTCGTACAAAAGTTTCGTAAAGTCTCTCTTATCATGTTTCTAAAAATCTAAGCGTAAGTATACAAAATGAATAGAGAATAGAAAAATTCGACGCTATTATATAAATGTTAAATCGACTAAAATTTCCTAATCCAAAAATGCACATTAATATAATTGAGGCACAAAAACCAACATTCACACACACAATCACGCCACACATGCACAGTCAACGACACACACACACACACACACAATATCCGATTTTCGTCTTATTAATGTATATATTCACTCAATTTCTTCACTCGAGTGAACGTTTGGTATTTTCTTTTTTATTTTCTTTTAATTTTGCGGTCTCCCATCTGCATCTTATCAATCAAAGTAAATTACTCGCATTCCGCTGTATTAAGAACCGTTCGTATTCGATCCTTTGTTGCTTGTTCAACGACCGGTTTTAGCCAAGTGCAATTCCACTTATTTCGTGACATGTGAAATGTTTCTAGCACGGGAAATATTTCATGAATGGTTTGATTTCCCAATTCAATGTGTACATATTCGTTGTCGTCGAGCGTAATGGTTTTTAGTTCTTTGAAAATTTGCAAGCGTTGTAAATCGTTTGGATCGGATAGGTGATTGTACGATATGTCGAGGTAATTAACTTTTGAATTGGATGGTTGGTATTGGTCGATCGTTCGATTGCGAAATGTGAATCCACTGTCACGCAACCATAATGCACATAATTCGGGTAATTTTGCAAATTCAATAATATCAATGTCCCGAATTTTATTCTGATACATAATAATTCGATTTGCGTGCTTCAAATTGTACATGGATCTACCAATCGTTTCCAAATTATTATTATCGATGGTCAAGCGTTGCAACAATGGTGCACCCTGAAAAATGTGATCGGACAACGTTTTCAGATGATTTTTCGATAAAATCAACTCACTAAGTTCGGGTAAATCGAATGTTCCATCTTCAATGGTATCGATATCATTATCGCGTAAATTCAAATAATTCAATTTTGTGAGGCCGGCAAACATTAAGCGACTCAACGATTTTAACTCATTTTTTGATAGCGTTAATTGTTCCAATACAAACAAACCATCGAATGCATTGTCTTCGATGCGGCTAATACGATTCCGTGATAATGTTATGCTGGACAAATTCGATGCGTACGTAAATACATGGCTCGACAGGCATTCCAATTGATTGTTCAATGTTAAATGGCGTAGATTTTTTGCATCCGTAAAATCATCACTGCTTATACTTTGTACATTGCCTCGAATCTCCAATTTGCGTAGTTGCGGAAATATGCGAAATATTTCCCGTGGCACTTCCGTAATGTTCGATTGTAATTGACCGTTCTTTGGTGTAAATAGAACAGACGTTATATTCGATGCACTTGTACTCGTTACGGTGAATATTAATGGCTCATCCTTGACTAATGTTATTGGCTTGGTCACATAGCAAGCATCGATTTCAATTTGATAGTTTTCATTTTCACATAATTCACACGTTATATTCGCTGCATTCACCGTTTGTAAGCACCATATTATACAAACTAACCACCACCAGCTGCAGCCGCTGACGCCACCACACCAGCGTAGACATTGTGTCGCCCTGCAAAACAAACGAGAAAATAAACAAACATGATGAAAATTGTTCATTGATATGTTCACTATTTCCCTATCTCTCTTTCTCTTTCTCTCCCCAGCACCGCCGCAATGACGGAAAATTCGAATAACATGCATCTATTCACGACTAATAATATTATTGATGCCAAACCAAAAGACCCAGCAAAACTTCCATCGCAGGAAAAATGCGATATTTTCAAATAGTAAATTGAATCTTGAGTCGGCGAATACAAACAACAAAAAAACTAAGCGATTGGATAGGTACACTTACGATTTGTTATTTGAGTGGCTGGAAAATTGTTTTATTGAATTCATCATCCAATGTTATCTCTTGATATTTTTTGCTACGTACGAAATGCACGTCGTGTTGTTGCCGATTTGTTTGTTATGTTACCGCGTCTTATTATTTGTTATGATTGGCTTGAATGGCTGAGCACTACTAAATCGTAGATTGAAGACGATGTGTCTACGACGTTCAGAAATGTGTGCAATTGCGTGTGTGAGAGAGAAAGCTTTTTGTTGATCGCAAAATACCGAACAAAAAAAAAGTGAGACGAGTTCTTGGCTCTCAATGTGTATTTGTATGCAGTAGCATAGTGAGCAAATATGAGCGACACACGAAGACATATATACGGGCACAAGGCAGTGAACGATCGGCATACACGAGTACACGATGATAGCGCACGCAACCACTTGGCTGCATCTCTTTCTGGCTATCACCGCTACGAACTGCTTTTGATCTTTGTGTAAAAGTTCGTTAGTTCAGGATTAAAAGTATGAGACTCGTCAAAGCGACCAAAGCCAGGCGCACACATAAATTTAATAATACACATATGTGGCTTTATCATTAATTCGGAGAGTGCGCGAATACGATCGCTTGTTCATTCACATTGTGCGCACATGAGTGTGTATATACGTGTAAGTTTAATTGAAACAAAATAGTTTGTCAAGAATAGAGTCAATGGATCAAAGACATACAGTTTATATTGTTTCTATGTTGACGGCGTGAATAATGATATCAGTTTAACGTTTGCTGACTGTAATTTACATGCTGTATATATATTTTTTTTTTGTATTTATTGTAAATTGACCTTGAACTCTGAACGTGATAACGAAGCAAATCATTATTATGCATTATCATTGCATTGTATGCTGACGAGGCATACAAAAGCGTCCGCGCTAGATCCAACGTGTGTATAGGGCGGAAAGGGAGCGCGATATAGATTTAATAAGGCCATCAACAATATACGATTATCACATGCGGTGCTCTTGATGGAATTATTTTCGTTGTCGTCGTCGTTGTCGTTGTTTTCTACATGAGCCAGTTTCTATCTGTCTTATTTGTGTTGTTGCCTCTACTGCCGTTGCTCTCTAGCGTCTCTCTGAAGTCATTACTAGAACATTGTGCGATAGTAGTTTTTTTCTTTCCTGTTTTGACTAACCGACAGAGTGAATAAAGAGATGAATTCATTCATGAATTAGTCACCGCTATTCGCTTTACTTCTTCCTTCCACTAGCGCCCAGTTCATTCAATTAGAATTGATCATATATTAATGATTTAATGCACACCACATGATACACATCATTCTGTTGGATCTGTCAAATTCAACTATTCAAATTTATTGTGAGAATATCACGATAATGGCACGTGCAGCGAAAGTTTAATACGACTTGAATTCTGAAACCATCATTGCATCCACTTTATTAGCATCATAAATGCAAATAGTTATTGAGAGAGCCTGACTATTACTTCCTACGACAGCACAAATGAATAAAATAAAGGAAAGGAAGAGAATGAGCATTGTTCCCAAACCTTTCGCAATTTAATATATTGTTATTCAAATGCCAATCATTGATGATTCACATTTGTTCAGTCGAACATGATGACTGTCAAAATGTTTCAATTTTCAAATGTTCAGCAGTCATTAAGTATGTTTTTTCCTTGTTGCTGTTTGATGCTCAGTGATAAAAAACAAATATAAATAATCGCAAATATATGAGTTTGTTCTCTTTTTTTCCATATATGTGAAGAACAATTTAAAATGCCTGATACGAGAGCACTGATAAATAATATTAATTTTTTATTAAAACTCAAAATCATTCATGAAAGCACAAGAATTCATGACTTTGGACCGACAAATGTGTGTGGTTGATTCGCGTGCATACGCATATATAATACGCGTATGATACGCTACCACAATTCAATGGCATTTGGATTAAAAGCAGAAATTACTGCTAAATTGTGGTATTTCAAAGAGGGAAATGCGCTTTGGCATAAAACGACCGGAGATGAAACTTAACACAATTCAAATATCATCGAAACGAACTTCCAAAACAAATGAGGGATAATAACATTAAAGATGCATACGATGAGCAGCAAAAAAAAATTTAAATTCCGAGAAAGAAATGTTTGTGACACGAAAGAGAGCCGAATAAAAAAAACCGTGCACATATCACTCACTCTCTATCTCTTGTATTCGTATGTCAAACGTATGCCGTGGTACATTCACATTTTTTGAATATACATTCGATTCTCCTTTTTTTCCCTGTCATTTGGCTCAAATATTTGTTTATCAAATTGACAACGAATACATAATCACAAACACACAAATCCAGTTAGGATACGTTCATTTCAGCTTGAGCCAACCACTACCAACCATGTGTGTGCAGTAACGAGAGGCAGTTCACAACAGTTCAAACATTGGAAGCCCCAAAAGGGAAAATATGGCCCACAATGCTGAAATAAAAAAAACGAACTGCAAAATGAATCAACAGAAAAAAAGGCAAAAATATAAAATGATTACGTTCGAATAGTACTGTCCGTTCTTTGCACATAAAATTCGCAGAATGGGCACAACAAATATAGAAAATATTATATATGTATAGCATATGTATACGGTTTGATAGAGCTAAAGCCGGAACGGAAAATTCCAATGGTTTGTAAATCAAACAACAGCTCACTTATTCTCACACTGTTTTTTGCATTTTATTTTAGTCATCTACGCTTCCTCAAACTCACACTCACACAATCCCGAATCGAACGCACACCGATCGAATGCAATAATGAATCCAGTTATTTATGTTACTTTATCTATTAAAGACTCATTGCAATAGTCTCTCAATATTCCGGCCGAGAAACGTCTGTTGTCATTCTTTTTATTTCATTTTCATCGTTTATGAGTTTAAAGAATCATTTTGGTGCATGTGTTTTGACCAAATTCGACTGATTTCAACATTCACATTTGGCTGAAAACGATTTCATTTGATGTATACAATTGACCAAATGTGCTGATATATTTGGCGGAGGAGTAACGAAGGCTGAAGGTTAACGTGGAAAAAGTGAAAAATGTAGATAGGGTTTTTTTATATTTGCATCCGTTTCATCTCTTTATTTTCTGCATCAGTCTGAGCCAATACAATGCTTTTTTTCGTATTCTGCACACTGTGCAAATACCAGCGATTCCGTTTCATGTTCACTCGTCGCCTTTCATCCATTCCCATTCCGAATGGTTATTATTTTGTATTCTATTTGAATCCGTTCGGATTTGTTTGTTCATCATATTTTCGTCTATTTTTCGTGCCACTGTCGAAAAAGTATAGACACACACATCGCATCCTCGGATAAGAGAAAAAAGCAAACTAAAACATATTTTACAGGATGGAAAAAATGAAGAGAATACAAAAAAAATGTGCGACCAAATATATCTTCATTTCCTCTTTTTCACCGAATTTTCAATGTGTGCTTATGTGTGTGTGTACATTTCATATTTATCTAATCATATGTATTATAACGAAGCTACAATATTTGTACAACGAGTTTCTCTCTCATTCACGATTGTTTGAGTACATGACATGTTTTGGAAAAAAATGTTGAGTGACTTGTGTTCGGTCCATGCTTACAACAACACTTAGTGAACGGCGTTAAACTAATTTCAATTTGGAAGTTATTTTTCAATTTTTGATCCGACGAAAATGGAAAATGGAAAATGGCGCAACACGCAACACAGCATCGACCTCGATGGATATTAATAAAATATATCCGGGCACGATTTTAATTAATGCCCACTTTTTAATCATTCATGCTCCGCGTGTTGCACTATTTTTGATTAGTTTATGATAACAATGGCTGGCTCATCACAAAACTACCGGCACTCTTCATCCGATGCGGTGGTGGTGCGATCGAGCATTTGTGATTTTCGAATATGTATAACACAGATGTCAATAATGATGGCCATTAGTTGATGTTATCATATGTTGTTTCCATTTATATATTGGATATATTCAATATCGCAGAAATTGTGGTTGTATTGGTGCGGCTGTTAATCATTGTGAAACGACAGCAAATTCACAAAGTCATCGACAGTTAAACCAACTATTTCCCCTTTTTTTCGGCCCTTTAATCTATTTTCGTATAGTTTTGAGCGAATGAAAAACCAAATCGAACCCCCTTTGAAATCGGTAGCTATGCGAGATTCGACATTTGTTTTGCATTAACCACAAATGTATGTAATCTTGTTTTCCCTTGCTCTTCGTTGCTGCTGCTGCTGCTTTCATGTGCGTTTTTTTTATTCATGCGCTTCGTTTCGGTTTATAGATAACGTACATCGGCAAAAAACACAGTAAAATCAAAAACACATTCATTCATCGCAGCAATAACAGTGGCAGCATCCAGCAAAATACTACACATCAATTCGATTCGCATCTTAAAATTCAACGACGAATATCGCTCTCACTCTCCGCGTATACCGAAATGAATGTCTAAGAAGATGTGGCTGTTGTTTGTGTTGCGTTTTTTCAATTGTTGGCTGGAGTGGCTTGTCTTTGTTATCCACTTTGGCCGATCTTCCTTTGTTTCTTACGTTTTTTTGTTCGGGTTCATGTATATGTTATTGTCTATTTTCCCATCTCAATTCTTTCTCTCTTCTCTCGCTTCGATTACAAACAAAAGGCTACAAAAAACAACCCCCTATTGCCATATTGTTTCGAAAAAAGTGCCTCATCTCTTCGATTTTTTTCTTTTGCTTTGCAAAGAAGATAAGTATGGTTGTTTTTTGTGGGTAACCGATGTCACCAAGCCATTGCAATATTGGTTGACTCTTATCAGACAAATGAAAATGATCCCAATTTGTACCAAATTCGTCTTGCTATTTATGATTATTGCGAAAACGACGTATAAGAAAACAGAAAGATAGAGAGCCAAATCAATACTCCAAAATTTTATTTCTTCATTCGGTCGTTCGAATCTGGAATTTAAACGAAAAGTGGTCGAATTTTGACGGGAAAACTTCATTTCTTCACACACACATATGCACACCGCTTTAGTTGGCATCACTATTCTGAGTACATCGATTCGAAACTTCGTCTTTAAACACATTTACACATGTCGGACACGAATTCAAAACTTTAACTCGGGGATTTTCGTCAAAACATCGCGCTACAATACGGATAAAGGCGAAACACACGTGCTTGGCATTGTGAAAAATCAAGTGCACCAAACGTTTTGACAATGAAGACTTTTATTGCTGTTTGTTCTTGTTGTTTTTTTGGTGCGCTTCATGTCAT